CTGGATGAGAGCCAACAGAGCCTCACGATCTCAAACAGATAATAGTCATCTCTTTCCTGTGCTTCTCTAGTCCCTCATAGCTTATTTGCTTCTAGGCCAGGTCTGGCCCTAGCCTGTTTGGAATGGACTTGCTACCACTCTGTCCCTTACAGAAACATCTAGTCCAGAATAGGCATAAATATTTTCCCATAATTTCATGTAATTTTCCCAACTTCTAATGCTTTAGGAAGCATTTCTTTATTAGGAGGGTGGCACACACTGGAATAGGCTTCCTAGAGAGGTGGTTGATGCCCCAAGCATGTCAGTGTTTAAGGGGCATTTGGAAAATGGCCTTAACAATATGCTTTAACTTGGTCGCTCCTTAGCTGTTGTAGGTCCCTTCCAACAGAAGTATTCTATTCTATTCTATTCTATTCTATTCTATTCTATTCATTTTGACTTGGAAGGGATCTACAACAGTCATCTAGTCCAACTGCCTGACCAATTCAGGGCTGACCAAAAGTTAAAGCATGTTGTTAAGGGCATTGTTCAAATGCTTCTTAAACACTGACAGGCTTGTGGCCTCAGTCATCTCTCTAGGAAGCCCGTTCCAGTATTTGACCACCCTCTCAATGAAAAAAATGCTTCCTAAGCATACTCTATTCAGTTCTAAGTCACTAGTAGGCTCAAAGAGAATGAAGCTTATGTACCCTGTTTTATCCCTGAATTATTGCCAATACGCAAATCAGAAGCTCTGAATGTCGTAGTGCTCAAGGCTTGTCTGTGCCCCTGGGAGCGGGGATGCTGCTGCCCTGGGACATGTGGGAAGGCCCCCTCTCTTCTCCTGAGAGCTCAGGAGTGGGGCCAGAGGAAGCCATGGGAAATGGGAATAACGGGGCTTTTATGTGGGATCTGTCTGTCTCACCCAAAACCCTAGCAAGACACCCACACTCTTTTGGCTGCTACGTCAGTCACTAGTTCCCAGTGCTCCTCCTTTCTAGGTCTGCTCAAAATCCAGGCAAACCTATGCTATCTAATCTGTACCTCTGGGGAGAGCCTACCCTTTTTGCCCTGCCAGAGGGGTAATGCCTTCCCAGAAGCAAGCACCTGCCCCACCTGCCACCAGACATCATTTGGGAAGCCCTGGGGAAGCCCTGGGTGATGGTGGACAATCCTTCCTTTGCACCAAGCCTAAAGGCTCTGGGGGTAGAGATGGTGGAGGGCTTATAACAAGGTGAGCGTGCAGCTGCTTGTTACAGAAAGCTAGACAGCCTAGGCATGCTCCATTACAAAGTTTCGTATTCTCATTCCTCTATGTGTTACAGAAATCCATCACCCTGACCTCACAGAGTCTGTCCTGGTGCGCCTCTGCTGAGGGAGGCCTGGGAGTCCCAAAGGAACAAGAAATTCCCTAGCTTTAAGTGGCAAGAGGAAACACCGTGGCACAAGGAAGAAATGATGTGGAGGCAAGGGGCAGGATCTCTTAAGAAGTACGTCTGAAGCAGCCCCCAAAGCTGCCAGCAGCTGCTTTTGAAGCGCAGCCCTTCGCGCACACCCCTTGCTCCCAGGGAGGAGCGCTCCCTGCTCACTCACCTGCAGCAGGCGCAGCCCACACGGAACAGCCCAGCGCTGCTTCCCGCTCCTGGCTGGCAGCAATGGTCGCTCCTGGCTTTCCTTCCACTGGATCAAGCTGAGGAGGGAGCTCACAGGGAAAATCTCTTGCTTTCCTCCAGCAGCAGCCTGCCAAGCACCAGGTACTCCTGCTGTCTCCCCTTCCTGGTGCGGTGCGGGCAGCACCAGCGATAGGCTGGAAGCCCTCACCTCTCGCCCGGGCAGGTGCATTCCCCAGCAGGGAGGCGTCTCAGCAAACCTGCTGCTGGCCTTGGAGAGGCTCCAGAGCCACGCCGGTGTGCAAGCACTACCCCTCCCTCCTCCCTCCCCAGGCAGGATCTGGCCACGCACCGATCCTGGAAGGTGGCTCATTTCCTCCCAGCTGGAGCTGTGAAGGGGTGCCAGAGCCAGGGAGCAGCTCCCAGGCAGCAGGTGAGAGGAAGCCTGCAGCCAGGTTGGCAGCGCTAGGGAAGATTTGACACATTCAGCAAGTATTTGGTATTATGTGGTATTAAATAATACCATAGCTCCTGCTATGCTGTGTAGGCTAGGGCCATCTGGTCACCTCAGGACTGTATCTTTGTATGGTATTAGGCCAGGCAGGCACTTGAGTCAGGCAAGATGTCATTGTAGTGCCATCTCCCCATCACTAGGCAGCCACAGTAGCACCCTGCCTGAGAGACAAAGGTGTCAGGAAAGCCTACAATGCTGCAGAAACATAGAAACATTCAGGTTGGAAAAGACCCTTGGGATCATCAAGTCCAACTAGAAGAGCTGGCTTCCTGGTAATCCAACTGAAAGAAAAGGGTGACCATTCTGAGAGGAGTTAGGGAAACAGAAAAAGACTCAAATTTGAGAGAGCAAGAAAAGAAAAGGGAGCAGCAAGAACACTGAAGTCAGTAGGGGAATAGGACTCCCAGATTGAGTGCATGCTCCATCCTTTGTGGCTGGGCTTAATGAAAGCCGAAGGAATCACTACTGGGAGCCTGAGTAGCTGGAAAGTCTCCTGGGAGATGCAGGAAGAAGAGAACGGGACTGAACAACAGTTCTTGCCTGACTAATGGAAAGGGAGGCTCAGCTACTGAATCACATGCTTGTTTTTTAGCAGCCTATGAGAAGGGAAGCTTAAGGAGATGCTAAACAATCGACACCAATTAGTGTGACAGCGTCAGGAATTTGTCTGAGTAAAATCTGACAGATATTTGAAACGTGTGAAATATCATCTGTCCAATGATTGTTGTCCTAAACCTAAAGCAACAAATGAAATGTGGTGGATTTCTCTATACAAACACCCTTGAACAACGAGCTTGCTCCTACCCAGGAAAACCTTGTCCTTCAGTTGGGCCAGTTAACAAAACACGTCACCCAAGGGGAAGCCTTACTCAGGTTTAAAGATAGTCATATATTAAGTTTAAAAAGTGACCTGTAACTTCCTAAGAGCATGAGATGCTTACCAGCCCCTTTAGAGCGGTACCGAGAAGAGAAACAGATAACGCAGACCAAGGGAGGATGAAAGCAGAAAGTGCCTTTGCACCCTGAGAGAATTCGAAAGATCATTACATACAAAACCATAATCCAGTTACAACCTAATTCTGAAAACATTTCTACAGGACGTATGTGTGAGATTGACCTTAGCAGAGTTTTCCCAGAATATAAAGGGCTTGTACATCTGACTTTGTTCCAGCAGGTCTCTGATAATCTCAGTGGCAACATTGTCCTGTGTCTGACTTTCAATGATTCCCTTACAAATATTTTAGCTGGCTCTTAGCCACTAAGATCAAGTTCAAAATCCTCTTGAATGTGGTTTGCCAACTGTCTACCCAGGCTTCATCTGACAGGCCTTGTACTGCCTTTAAAATCTTTCTAATGAGAGTGACATACGCGCATATTTTTAAGCATATTGATCACCACTTAGAAATCATTCTTTACCTGTACATGCTTCTTTCTCATATTAGGACAGAAAGATTGATTCCATTTCTCTAAACCACATTTATTAAAGTAGTGGCTTCTACTACTCAATTTATTCTGACGGAGAGAGGGGAAAATTATACCACTTGGGAGCCTAGCAAATTAAAATGGGTGTGTTCTGAAAATTTAAGAGGGAACTAGTTTCTAAAATATTTACTAATTACATTAATTACATCCTCCTTCTGTACAGGAAGCATCAAGATGATTATATGGGGAGTGGGGGAGGAAGAAAGGGTGTTGAGCTCGCATACTAACAGACCGGTTCCATCGTAACGTCTTCCTTTTGTTCCTGTGAAATCTACGCTTCACATGAGTTAAAGCTGCAAAATGAAAAAAATTTAGACTATAAAGAAACTTAATTCCACATTCATGGACAAAGTACTCAGTTGAAGTCTCCCACGTCACAGGACCTCGTGGAACCATTTGTTTTGCCATGGTCGTAGCCTAGAAATGAGTCTGGCATCCCTAACGGTAATAGAGCCTACACATTACCCAGCCTTGGCACCACCATCTTCTGTATATTATGAGTAGTATGTAGAAAGCACTCATCAGTTCTCTACAATTCAGGGTAGGAAATGGAAACAGTGATGTACTGGCTGTTATAATACCATGTAGTTCCATGCTCCATCAGTAGCTTAAACTTCTGATGCATGTGAAGCATTCTTCAGTGAGACAATGCATCATGCACTGACAACAAAGGATGAAAAAATTACTTTTTTCCCCCCTCGTTATTAAAGAAAATGCACTTTGCAGAGTGATTTTTCAGAATTTCACAAAAAAAATGAACAAAGGGATTGCAGATGTTGGGAAAAAAAAGACAAGCAAAGATTAATTTATCAAAATTATATGAGAGCTATGATATCAGGTTTGAACTTTATTCTCAGTTTTGGAGTCTGAAACTGCCTTTTTGTCCAGCAGAAATGATTGTAACGAATGAGACAGAAGCTTGAGCATGGGCATGAACACTAGTCAAAGGTTGTGCCCACATGGTAACTGATTTTTAGTCTGCGACTGGATACCTGCTTGGAATAACACTGACATCTGCCTCCGTATGGACATAGGCAATTCAATACTGGAAAATAAAAGGCTGATATTGGTATTTGTAGCACAGTGACACCAAATTGCAATTCTAGCAGAAAAGGCTTACAGAGTTTGACCAGCTCTTCTGAACTAGGACATGGTATTTTTCAAGAGAAAGGTGCATACCTGCCCTAGCATGAAGGCACAAACATCAGTCTTGCACTAACACAAATTTATTTTTTTTCTCTTGGCTCCTAGGACTCACACAAAGGGAAGATTCTAAGAAAGCGTAAGCGACTGAAGGTTGCTGTCTTGTGTTCAGAGCAGTGAGTGCTGCACAAATGCTTCTCATGTAAGAGAATGCTGTTGCATTTCTGATCATTCCAGGAAAATGTAACAATATAAAGCATCCTTGAACCAGGTCACTGTTGCTCTGTCTTGTGGCTTGTTTCCAGACTCAGCTTAGGAAGATCTCTGACTGAGGCAGGCTCAGCTGCAAGGACTTGTCCCTTCTCCTTGATTTGGCCTCGCAGGTATTCAATTTCTAGATGCTGCATTTCTATGATTTTCTCACTTTCCTGCTCTGCATTCAACCTTAGGACAGCTGGGCTGGACAGTGGTTCACTGGAGGGAGCTAGAAGATAAAATCAGAATGGTAGAGCAGAGTAACAAAGGTCCAGCTCGCAGAATTCTTCGGCATGAACAAGGAAAGGCATGTCTCAGGGCTGAAGCAGTAGAGCTAAAAAGTAAGGTTCTGCAGTATTTAGGAGCTTTTACAATTAACATTACGATATAGCAGATACCACCAGGCAGACAAGCTGGAATGATATGGAGACAGTAACAGAATTGTTCACCAAGGACAAAAAGGGCTTCTGGAATGAGTACTGACAATATGGAAAACATACAAGAAGCATTATTCACCTGTGTCTTGAATTGTTTGTTTTCTCTTTGTTAATCTTAGCGTTGACCGAAGGTCGTGTACCTGGGCGTGGGCGTCGTTCAGTTCTTGCCGCAAGTCATTAATTTCTTTAATCAGACTCATATTTTCCTGCAAACAACAATATGCCCTATGAGGAAAACACAGGTACTGTCTGGCTCAGCAATATGTATCTTCGTATCATTGGTGAGGACACTGGACAATGCAGAATCAGTATCACAAACTGAAGACACATGACAATCTGTACAGTAAACAACATTTCAGATAAGGCCACGGTAGTTTTGATGCAAAACATGACAGTATTCAAACTATGTTAGCTCAACAAGCTAATATTTGGTCCATTTTCTGCCTGCAGCTGCACTCCAAGGTATCATCTTCCTTGCCAGTTCCACACGGAAGCTCAAGTCCCTTCCTAGACTGATCCAATTAATGCAGAACTAATGTGAAGAATTCCCATTCCTCCCTCCATTGTGTATTATTTTGCTTTTCGTTTGCCACTATGTGTCTGTTCACTTAAATGATCTGTATTTCCTTGCAGTTCTTCAAAGCCCTCTTCCTTAGTTCTGACGACGTCACTTCCCCCTTCCAAATTATTAAGAAATACATAAAGCATACGGAGACTTGAGATAACCTACTGGTAGGAGGAAAAGTTAGCCCTGTGTTCAACTTTTGTTCTCCTTTTTAGTCAGTTTCCGACCCATAGAAGGTCAATCTTCGAATTTTTTTAATAGCCTACTACAAAGCATCGTGCTGAAGGAGTTGTGAAAGTACACGTGAATGTACTTACCCATGCTCGCAAAAAATTCAAAGACTCCAGCAACACCAGAATAGGCTAATACTGGGGAAGGGTGCTAAAACTTACTCATGATTCAGAAATATGAGCACTATTAACTAAATATTTGTTTTCTGAACTCAAGAGAAGTGGAAATGTGTATCTGCTTCTTACAAAGGCAGTGAAATACCTCACCTCATCAACAGCTGGTGCAAATATTAACCAGGTGCCATCCTACTTGAACCAAAGGTAGCAACTATTTCAGCTACCTGTAGTGTTTCTTTACAAGTTTTGGAACAGAGCACCATTCCAGTCCTCAGAACCTCATAATAAATGGCAATATTTTAGAAAGATAAATGGCCAAAAGCCATGCTTTGGGTACCTCACACACCACCAGTCTCAGGCAACGGGGAACTCATTAAAACAACAGGAGATGTAAGGATTAATGGCGTTTTCTTACGAAGAAAGTGTCGTCAAATCTCAATTTATTTTTTTCTAATGATGGTTTTGGTTGATAGAGCTAATGACGCTGCCGTAAGAGATGTATGGCCTAGGAGATCGAGCTGCCGAGAGGAGCGGTGCCACATCCCGCCAGCCAGCAGCGGAGCAGCCGCTCCCGGGGTCCCGGGGCG